ACCTGAGGCGCTGGAGCTGAGGCTTGAACGTGGCCGAGTAGCAGACAACGTCGATTGGCGCTCAGGCTTGAACGTGAGCGTGAGGAGTGGAAAACGAGGAATTGAGGGGCAAGTAACAGTCGGCAAGGAGAGCTTGATCGCTTAACGCATTAGGAGAGGAGTGAGGAGATGAGGGCCGGACGGCCTTTTGCTTGAGGCGTTAGAGATGGAGGTTGGAGCAGAGAGTCGCCAATGACATCGATTAGATAGGAGATGAGCCGATTTGGAACAATTAGGTTAGGGTTTTTCATTTCCTTACTGGTGCGGACCTGAACGGAACCGGTTTAGATTTGATTTCCATGCACTTGCCCATGGACGAAAATTAAACCGAACCAAATTTGGTCCGAACGAACCGATCAGTCCGAACTGGAATTTGCACATTCCTACTCACAAACAGGTTATGGGGGAAATTTCGAGATTTTCATTAATGATGCATTGCCAAATTGGGTGCGTTTCAATTGTCGATACACGACGCCGTTCTGGTGCAACACAGCCACACCAACTTACTGACACTATCTATAAGCTAAGTTGAGGAACCAGAGGGGTTTAGGTTTACCTATCGCTACTTAAAACCCTTCCTGCTCTAATGTATTGTTTTTAATATAAACTTAATCCCGATTCATGGAGGTTTTCAATCGTCCTTTCCATAACGGCACTATAGTTTTCTCGGCTCTCACTCCCAAAATTCCCGTTAAAACTTGCAACAATAAAATCTCTCGTAGATTTCAAAAGCCTGTCTCGAAATACAGCAAAATCCTCTCATTCCCTTGCTGTTTCCTCTTACATGCTTCCAGATTTCGCATTTCAGCTCACTTTGGTCGTCCTCCCAGTCGTCGAAATTCACTAAGGAAAAAGCTTCTTCATAATCAGAAGGTGCGTCAAAATCTGATTGCTCTAGACCCGGCTTCTGATTTTGGAGACCCACTTCGTAGTTTTGATGATAAATGGAATTTTCAAGAAAATCAAAGTGACGTTAATGTTAAAGATAACTTTTTAAATTCTGGGTTTGTTGATACGGGTGATTTAGTTGAGTGCAGCGATAAGGAACTAAAACTGAAAAGTTTAGGTGAGTCTCCTTTGGTGATTGAGATGGAAGATTGGCTAAATCGGTACAAGAAAGATACTGGGTATTGGGGTATAGGTTCTGGTCCAATTTTTACAGTATTCAAAGATTTGAATGGTAATGTGGAGAGGGTCGAGGTCAATGAAGATGAAATTTTGAGAAGAAGCCGGGTTGATAAAGGGAAATTTGAGGACTTGACAGATGTACATTCAAAAATTTTGCATGCGAAGTCATTAGCTAAAGAGGTAGAGACAGGGAAAAGTGAAATTTCAGAGAATAGTTCTGTGGCAAAATTTGTTCTCTTGAATGGAGAGTCTGGTTTAGCTAACAGGATCCGCAGTGTGATTCTTCGTCCCGATTTTGTTCCTAAATTATCCTGGGCTGGGAGAAATATATTCTATGGTTTCATTGTGCTTTTGGTGGTGAAAAAAGTATTCACTTTTGGGAACAAGGAGGTGCACTTGACAGAATTGGACAAGGAAATGATGAGAAGAAAGATAAAGTCTAGAAGCGAGAAGGAGTTGTTGGAGAAGGGTTGTATAGAAGTTGTTAAAGAGGCTTCAGAATTGCCAGCGGTATCAATTCGGAAACCTGAGCTGGATAAGCAAAAACTTTTAACTAATATATTGAATGCAACAGCTTCCAAGGATAAAGTAGCTCTCTTGGACTCTTCTAGTACTCATAATGTTGACTCTATTGATATTGATGATAAAATTAAGGAGGTTAGAGAAATGGCGAAGCAAGCTCGGGAGATTGAAGGTAGTGAACAATGTCTGGAAGGTAAGGATGAAAAAGAAAAGCAGCCTGGAAATGAAGAAATGTATAATGAGATGGAAGTGATCGAAAAACTAAAAAATGATATGAGTTTTATCAGTAGCGTCCCAAGTAGGAATAACTGTGAAACTGATGTGTCTATAGAAAGTGCCAAGACTGATTTTCCTGAGTCAGTTGTTTCTGTAGAGAATGCAGCTGTGCAAGCTTCTAGTTCTTCAAAAATAGAAGTTTCAGAAAACATGCAAAACACATCACAAGACTTAAAACTTCGTGAGAATATGCAGCACTTAATGGTCACTGAAGAAGTCATTCAATCTTCTGACATTTCTGGTGGTAAATCATGTATGAAAAAAGATGGTCCTTTTGGAACAAAACCAAGAGTCATACGGTCAGTAAAAGAAGCCAGGGAGTTCCTCTCAAGAGAACGTGAGTCAGAAGAGCTTAATCTAGAACCACTGGTGAAGACTGCAGAGAAAAGTGCTAGCTTTTTAAACTCTCATGGTGATAGAGAATTGTGTGCAAATACAAGACAGGATCCAGATGATATTAACAGAGTATTAGAACCTCTCATTCACCAGTGGACGTCAGAATCTGGATCTGCTCCAGATGCTTGTGAGAAGATTAAAGAGTCCATATCTAAGAAATTTGATTCTGAAGATGCTAATGGCCATGAAGTGGGTATTTCTCAAGGGGTCCTATCATCAAACTGTGAAAGAACAGGGATCAATGACGTAAAAGAATCGCCAGTAAATACAGAAAATTGGTTGGAGAAAAATTTCCATGAAGTTGAGCCCATTGTGAAGAAGATGGCAATTGGATTTAGAGATAATTATATGCTTGCAAGAGAAAAAGTAGGTCCGGAGTCGAGTATAGACACTTTGATGTCGCAGCTTGGTTCTAATGAAGATGAAAATGAACTTGACTGGATGAAAGATGATAAACTTAGAGATATTGTTTTCCAAGTACGAGAAAATGAGCTAGCCGGCCGGGATCCATTTTATTTAATCGACACTGAGGATAAACATACATTCTTCCGAGGTCTGGATAAAAAAGTTGACAAAGAAAATCAAAAGCTGTCACACTTGCATGAATGGCTCCATTCCAACATAGAAAATCTTGATTATGGAGCAGGTAATCAATCGTATCTACGTCTCTTTTGTTCCCTTAGTTGTTTTCCTGAAGAAAAAACAAATTTTGTGAGTTTTCATGTATTGAAAAATTACATCTTCACAACATAGATTAACTAAAATGTTGTATGTTCGGATTGTTGTATGGGGGTACTGGTACAAAATACTATAGATGCTAAATTTAGGTTAAAGGGGGATAGGTTTAGTCGTTACATTATTTTGGGATTGAAGTTCCATTGGACCACTTCTTAGTTCATTATTGGGTAGTAAGTGATAGCTGGATAGCAAATTCTGGCCCATTGGTTCTTTTTTTTATGGGAAGAGATTTAGGATTCTAATCCTTCTTGTAGCCACAACAAGAACATTATTGCTCATGTTAGAGATTCTTAAAGAGTGAAGTTAATGTATTATGGGATCTAAATAAGATTATCAATAGATTTTAAGTTTTAAAAAAATGTTGTTTATGGACTCTTGCTCCTCATTTAGACACCTACTTCTTCCATCTTATTTTAACTAATCTCAATCTTGGTAGAAAGTGTGTTAGAACATAACTAATCTAAATTTTGATGGAAAGTTTGTCAGGATATAACTTTTTAGTCTCCTTTTCTGTACCTTTTCTGCTAACTATCTTTGGAACACTCTATCAATTTAGGCCCGATCCTTCTCCTAATTTTAGAAATCAGGATCGAGAAACAAAATCAATCTAAGTGAAGCCATACCACAAACTAGTTTGAAAAATTTGATTGCAGAAGGGTTGAGTGATCTTGGTAATATGTTCACGGTGTAATCGATCGGTATGGCTTCACTGTTATTCCTCAAGTTTGTTTCTCTTATTACAAGTTTGTGGATAAAAGAACATTTTACTGTAACTGTTAAATAGATTGGCTCCAACTATGCAGGTAATTGTAGTCATTTTGGTTATTTTTTCCTTGTTAATCAGTTTAGGTATTAAAGAGCCACTGTCTTTAATGATCTTCTGCTCTTTCTCTAGATGGTATCAGTGTGTATGATCCACCAGAAAAAATCGTTCCACGCTGGAAAGAGCCTACATTAGAGAAGAACTTGCAATTTCTCGATAACTACCAAGAACAACAAAAGGCATATTCTTTGGAGGAAGCTACTGCATCATTCTCAGTGAAGAAGGATGAGCAAGCATTGTTTCAAAAGTCAGCAGAGTCCCCAGCTGATCAGAATGTTGCCAGTTCTTCGGTAGATGATGATTTGAAGAAAAACATACATGATAAGAATATGAAAAAGGTAAAGACAGTTATAGAAGGCAGTGATGGTTCTATCAGATCTGGCAAAAAATCTGGAAAGGAGTATTGGCAACATACAAAGAAATGGTCCCAAGGGTTCTTGGAATCATATAATGCAGAGACTGACCCAGAAGTTAAATCCATTATGAAGGATATAGGCAAGGATTTAGATCGATGGATCACTGAAGAAGAAATACAAGAAGCAGCCGACCTGATGACCAAACTACCTGAAAAGAATAAGAAATTCATGGAAAAGAAACTCAACAAACTCAAAAGAGAAATGGAGTTGTTTGGATCACAAGCTGTAGTGAGCAAATACCGTGAATATGTGGAAGAGAAGGAAGAAGATTATCTATGGTGGTTAGATCTTCCACATGTACTGGTAAGCGTGTGAATCTCAACAGTGTATTTTCTGCTTTGTTTATTTCATAGGGCATCTTGATTCCTATAATAGAAATAGATTCGCAAGTATCTTCAGAATATTCAACTCATGATAAGAAGAGAAAAATCTTTTATCTTTCAGTGCATCGAATTATATACAATTCAGAAGGGGCAACAGCGAATAGGCTTTTATGCATTGGAGATGGCTGCAGATCTTGAGCTAGAACCAAAACCACATCATGTGATTGCTTTTCAAGATTCTGTGGACTGCAAAAATCTTTGCCACATAATTCAGGCTCATTTGGACATGCTTGGAAATGGAAATGCATTTATTGTTCCGCGGCCACCTAAGGTAAACATTTCAGTTTTTTCTTTTGCTTTGGGCTAAATATAAACTAATCTGGTTAGGAGCTCATGAAGGACATGCACAATGGATCATGCACAATCCATCTTTTTATTATTAGATCAGATAACCAACTGTTTCCTCCGAACATATGAATCCGTATCATATCATTTGATATATGGCTCTCTTTTCTTGAATATCAACTTGTCTTCTATGAAAGAATATTATAATTATCATGATCTAATTAAGCTTCATTGGTGCAAGTTTGCTCCTGGCTGGGGCCCAACATAAGAATAATTATGCGAGTTCAGTTTAATCCTCATTTCAATTCTTATTTTATTTTGCACATAATTATTAAATTAGTTTGGATATGTAAGGTTGCATCAGAATTTATGTTCCACTCTTATCTTGAATTTCTAGAAGGTTAATTTTCAGGACAGTCATGCTTGTTTGGTTTAATCCTTATTCAATTCCTATCTTATCCTTACATTTAATTACTAAATTATTCTGGACAGGTAAGATTGCATCAAACTTGTAGAAAATACAGGAAAATAAATTAGTTTCTTTTCTGTTTTGCCTAGTGGAGAGAATCTCAAAATGGTTATAACCATTTATGCAATTCTTTCTTCCCATAAAATTTGTTAGGAAGATTTGTTAGGAAGTTGTTATTTTTGTTGCATTATTTTCTATAAATTGTAGCACCACCAAGAATGAAATTAAGACAAGTAGAAGAGAATTTTTCATTCTTCAAACCTTCATGGTATCAGAGCGACTCTGATCCAGTAGAATCATCCCGATTGAGCTGCAGCCAAAAATGGCCTCGGGAGAACTACCATCTTCTCCACTAGAAATTTCATCGGGCTCTTACCATCCTTCTTCTACCAACCATGGCTTGGTTGAACCATCCTCATCACTCCTCACTAGGCATAAGCTGAATGGTAGCAATTACCTTTAGTGTGTCATCGTCAATATTACTATTCATTTGAGGCAAAGGTCGCGAAGAGTATCTCACTGGTGAACTCTTACCTCCACCGGCGAATGATTCGAATGCTCGAATATGGAAGATTGACAACAGTATGGTGATGTCGTGGCTCGTAAGCTCGATGACGCCCGACATCGCAGAAAATTTCCTTCTCTACGAGATTGCGCAGGAAATTTGGGAGACAGCTCGGGAACTCTACTCTAGTAAGGAAAATACATCAGGTATCTTCGAAATCGAGTCCACCCTTCATGAACTGAGACAAGGTGAGTTAAATGTAACTCAGTATTATAGTCTTCTATCTCGTAGCTGGCAGCAACTGGTCGTCTTCCAAGAAAGGAGATGGAACTGTCCCGAGAACGTCAGAAATTTCCGGTCATTTGTGGAGGAGAAACATATTTTCAAATTGCTGCTGGGTTTGAACAGCAACCTTGATGAAGTCCGAGGGCGGGTGCTTAGCATCAAACCATTACCTAGCATCCGCGAAGTCTTCTCTGAGATTCGACGAGAAGAAAGCCGAAGAAGAGTGATGATGGGTGATGCACAACTAACTCAATCTATCGAAAATGCTTCCGCATTCTCGACAAGAACTCAGACCTGAGAGGGAAGAAAAGTCAGTCTTGGTGCGACCACTGGAAAAAGCCTGGCCATGTCCGCGACAAATGCTGGAAATTACATGGAAAACCATCGACCGAAAGTCGCCCAGACCAGAAATCGACCACCATGGCAGTCATGCATTCGCTGGAGAGCCTCTCTGAGTTCTGTGGAGAGTAGCCCCTTTAGCCCCGAGTAGTTGGAAGCACTTCAGAAAATTTTGACCCAGAAAAATTATCAACCTCCCATCAACGCATTAGTGGCACACAAAGGTAAAATTCATGATTTATTTGTGTGTTCAGTAAAGCAGGTTTGGGTGGTTGATTCTGAAGCGTCGGATCATATGACTGGAGATGTGTCACTGCTCCAAAATTACAGCACATCTGAAGAAAATATTTTGATTAAAATTGCTGATGGGTCTGTCTCCAAAGTGGCTGGATGTGGCTCTGTAATTTTATCTCCAAATTTGACACTTCATTTTGTCTTTTATGTGCTAAAATTAGATTGTAATTTGTTATCAGTGAGCAAGCTTTTTGGAGAGCAGAAATGTGTTACTAAATTTGTCTCTAATTTGTGTGAATTTTAGGACTTGGACACGGGGGATGATTGGTAATGCTAGGATGATTTCAGAACTATACCTTCTTCAAGTAGACACTTTTAGGGGACAAACTCAAAATACAGTATGTGCAAATTTTGTTTCTACAAGTCATTCAGATAATGACTAAAATATCGTGTTATAGCATTATCAATTAGGGCACCCAAATTTCGTTTATTTAACAAAGTTGTTTCCTTCACCATTTAAAAGTAAAAATCCTGTTTCATTTCAATGTGAAATATGTCAATTTTCAAAACACATTCGCAATTCTTTTCTTAGTTTACCATATAAATCTTTTAAACTATTCGCATTAATTCATAGCGATGTATGGGGACCTTCCCGAGTCATTAACATTACCGGAACTAGATGGTTTACATCCTTTATTGATAATCATACAAGAATTACTTGAATATTCCATATGAGAAAAAAATCTGAGATTTGACCTATTTTCAAAAAATTCAATAGTATGATCCAAACACAATTTCATACAAATATTCAAGTTTTAAAATCCGATAATGCATGTGAATATTTCGAAACCTCTTTTGGAAAATATTTCACTGATCATGGCATTATTCACCAAAGCTCGTGTGCCCATACCCCCACAACAAAATAGTATAGTTGAAAGGAAAAACCGACACATCCTGGAGGTTGCCCGCTCAATCATGTTTACCACTCACGTTTCAAAATTTCTTTGGGGAGAGGCTATACTCACTGTCACTTACTTGATAAATCAGATGCCTTCCCCTATTCTCAATTTTCAGTCACCATATAAATTACTCTCAGAAACCTTTCCTGAATCCCATATCCTACATAGCCTACCACTCAGTTTTTAGGTGTTCTGCATATGTTCATATTCATTCACATCTTCGAGGAAAATTTGATCCACGGGCTGTAAAACGCATTTTGTTGGTTACTCTGCCTATTAGATAGGATATAAGTGTTTAGTTTCGGGTACACGTCGATTCTATAACACCATGAATGTTATAATTTTTGAAAATCAACCATTTTATCCCACAACTGATATTTCAGGGGGGGAATTTTACTCAGAAATATCAATTATGGGATGTTAGAATACCTCCTCTCTATTCATCCCTTTTGGAACCTGAACCTATCACCAATACTTCACCAAAAACTACACAGAAAAAACCTGAGCTAATGTCAGGAACATAAAACACAATTCCTGCAAATAATGAATTACGTGTCTACAATAGAAGGAACAAAAACCAAGGAGGGAAAACACTTGAATCAGACAAGCCTTGCCATGAATCTGTTTCGGTTCCAGGTACTCAGAAATTTACAGGTAATGAGACATTTATCCCTGCTAATAATATTGACAATGAATTGCCTATAGTTTTGAGAAAAGGGACTCGAACATGCACCAAACATCCGATACAGGACTATATCTCATTTGGTAAGTTGTCTTCAAAACATCATGCCTTTGTGTGCAGGCTAGACAGTAATTCACCAGAGCCAAAGTCTATTCATGAAGCTCTGGAAATACTAGAATGGAAAGCTGTCATCCAAGAAGAGATTAGAACACTTGAGAAAAATGAGACATGGGAGTTAATTGATCTGCCCACAGAAAAACGTCGGGTTGGATGCAAGTGGGTCTTTACAACAAAATACAATCCTGATGGGAGTATAAATCGATACAAGGCTCGCCCAGTAGCAAAAAGCTTTACTCAGTCTTATGGGATAGACTATCAAGAAATATTTGCTAGAAGTAGCCAAGCATAATACAATCCGCGTATTACTGTCACTTGCTTCTAATCTTGATTGGTCACTATGTCAGCTAGATGTAAAGAATACGTTTCTGAATGGTGACCTAGAAGAAGTATACATGGATATCCCACCAGGGTTTGAACTAACTAATGATCCTCAAAAAGTGTACAAGCTCAAAAAGTCATTATATGGTCTGAAGCAATCTTCAAGAGCTTGGTTTGACAGGTTCACAAAAGCAGTAAAACAAGAAGGGTATGGGCAATGCTAATCAGATCATACACTTTTTGTTAAACATTGCATCTTAGGTAAAAAAACTATCTTGATTGTCTATGTAGATGACATTATTTTGGCAGGAGATTACATTGAGGAAATTCAGAGACTTAAAGAATTCCTAACTAAAGAGTTTGAAATTAAAGATTTTGAAATAATGAAATACTTTCTTGGTATAGAAATAGCCTGGTCAAAAAGGGGAATTTTAGTATCACAACGAAATATGTTCTTGATCTCCTGAAAGAGACCGGAATGCTCGGAAGTAAACCTGCTGACACATCTATGGATCCGACCGTAAAACTTGGATTCAACATCAGTGATAAGAAGGTTGATAAAGAAAGGTACCAAAGACTGGTGGGCAAACTCATCTATTTAGCACACACCAAACCTGACGTCAGTTTTGCAGTTAATACAGTGAGTCAATTCATGAATCAACCAACTAAAAAGCACATAACGAATGTATATCAAATTTTGAGGTACTTAAAGATGACTTCAGGTCAAGGATTGTTCTTTCAGAAAATAAGAAAAATGGATATTGGAATCTTCACTGATGCTGATTGGGCAGGATTAGTAGCTGACTGAAGATCTACATCAGGATACTGTACCCATGTCTGGGGCAATATAGTAACTTGGCGCAGTAAAAAGCAGTCTGTTGTATCTCGTTGCAGTGTAAAGTCTTAATTCCGAGCACTTGCTCATGGAATATGTGAAGTAGTGTGGTTGAAAATGATACTTGTAGAACTGAAAGTTTATGATGGTACCTCTATGAAAGTTTGGTATGATAACCAATCAACCATTAACATGGCCAATAATCCAGTTCATCATGACTGAACCAAGCATGTAGAAATCGATCGACACTTTATCAAGTAAAAATTAGAAGATGGAACTATAACCCTTATGCATATCTCAACAAGTCAACAGGTTGCGGACATCTTAACAAAAACTCTACCAAGAGAAACCTTTGATAACATTGTATCTAATCTAGGTTTACTTAACATCTATGTAAACTAGATTGAGGGGGAGTGTAAAAAATATAGAAAAATAAATTAATTTCTTTTCTGTTTTGCCTGGTGGAGAGAATCTCAGAATGGTTATAACCATTTCTGCAATTCCTTCTCCCCATAAAATTTTTTAGGAAGATTTGTTAGGAAGTTGTTATTTTTGTTGCCTTATTTTCTATAAATTGTAACACCACCAAGAATGAAATTAAGACAAGTATAAGAGAATTTTCCATTCTTCAAACCTTCAAAATTTTTTGTTCCACTAGCATATTGAATTTCTACTGATTAATTTTCAGGATAATTATGCCCGTTTGGTTTAATTCTCATTCAATTCCCATCTTATTCTGTTGCATCAAAATTTTATGTTCCAACTCTCATCTAGAATGTCTAGAGGGTCAATTTTCAGGATAATCATGCCTGTTTGGTTTGATCCTTATTCAATTCCCACCTTATCTTTTCACTTAATTACTAAATTATTATTATTTTTTTGATGAATTACTAAATTATTTTGGATAGGTAAGATTTCATCGGAGTCTATGGCTGCTCTCATCTTGAATTTCTAGATGGTTAATTTCCAGGATAATTATGCCTGTTCGGCAATCCCTATTCAATTCCTATCTTATCCTTACACTTATTTACTAAATTATTTTGGATAGGTTTACATCAAAATTTACGGTCGACTGTCATCTTGAATTTCTAGAGGGTTAATTTTTAATGGGAATTGAAAAGTTGTTGAAATGTAGTGGGAGTGGAAAGGATTTTCATTGTCTAATTATCAAAATAAGGAATATGGTAGAAAATGGATGAGAACTGAACCAGATAGAACCTTTACTTTTGTTGTCTCTGACAACTCAGTCTAATTTCTCTCTGTGAGGTCTCTTAACTATTTCCTCGGTTGTATAGATAAGGTGTTCATATTTGATTCTCAATTTCTCTTCTGTTTCTTAACTGTTCATAATCCTTTAGGATGCTTTCAGAGAAGCCAAAGCAAATGGTTTCGGCATAACTGTCATCAGGAAGGGGGAGCTGCAGCTCACTGTGGATCAGACACTGGAAGAAGTGGAGGAACAGTTATGTGAGATTGGGAGCAAGGTGTACCATGATAAGATCATGCAAGAACGCTCTGTGGACATGAGCTCCTTGATGAAGGGTGTTTTTGGCGTCGGTAGTAGGTAATGCTTATTTCTGGTACAGCTGTCTAAGATTCAGCAATGTGGATAAAATTCAAGAATAATCTTCTTCGCAATTTAAGACTTTTTTTTTTGCTGGCCTTAATTCAGGAGAAAACGCAAGGGAGTGCTGAAAAGGCTTGGCCAAAAACGATCTAGCAAGAAAAGGAGCTGAGTTTTCTCCCTTAACTGGGTGAGAAACTCAATGATAACCATAAAGCATTTTGTCAGGGATGATTTCCTACCTTAATCTTTGCAGATCTGCATGTGCATAATTCCTGCCAGCAGGACAAGTTTTAACCTGTGTGGTACTATCTTATACCTGCCAGGCCATGTTCTTCATGGAAAACTGTAGCTGGCAGTAACATTTCACTTTTCTAACCAACATGGCACAAATCATTCATCTGCATCTTAAGTACTCAAAAAAGCCAAAAATCTGAAACTTCTTGTGCCTCATTGTAGACTTCTTGGCTTCTAAGAGGAGTTTTAGCTGGACATGCCTTACTACCTGCTGGTCAAATTCCTAAGTAATGGCCTGGAACTGCTTTACCATGGTGAGAGCATAGCACGTGTTCATTGTTTCGCTTCCCTCAAAAGTCTAGAAAACCGTGTACTTCTGTGCACGTGGTAAATGAGCAGAGTATGATGATACTATTCTCTCATTTTCACTTGTGTGATAGTTTTTTTATCAAATTATGCTGCCTCTCTATATGATCATTGTAGTGATATGATGATGTTTCGCAGCTCAAGAATGGCAGTTTTGCACGTATTGTCTCTTGACACATCAGTGATCCGTAAAAATTTTTTCTTGCTAGATAGTTGGCAATCTCAGCAGCTAAATGATTGAGGCTAATCATCAAATCATCTGATAGATTGAATCATTACAGACTTTGTGAGCTAGCGCGAGCCAACTCATGTGAAGGATTATCAACTAAGTAAAATATGTCGGTTGCCTTGATCATCAGTCTTTTTACATGGAAACAGTTTACATGTTCTATAACGGTTCTGTCTCTTGGTTGAATTGATGATTAAGAATTGTTTTAGCTGAGAAGGTATCGAATCAATTGAGAAGAATCTTAGAGACATTTATGCGAAGCCAGTTAGTGGGATCGTACTCTACCAATTTTTGGGTTGAAAGTCCCATGTCATGAGACTACGGGTATGCACAGTATAAAATTGGGTTCTTAGTTGATTCTGATTCTCACACACTGTATCTAGATTAAAGCAAATAAAATTTTCAAATTATCTTTCTGCAATTGATTTAAATAAAAAAAAAAAAAAAATTATGCTGAAGAAAATAATTTGCGTGAAAAAAAAGTAGCTTAGTCTTGTCAATTAACGTTAATAGTTTGCTTGATTTCTTGGTAATGACAGGGTTTGTATAATGTAGAACCAAGTGAAAATGTAGTCTTAAATGATGGAAACCTGACTTGAGGGTGTCATCTCTTTCCATTGTTTTTTTACTTTTCCTTTTTCCTCGCTTGCTTTTAAATTCTTCTATCTGGTTGTAAAAGTTCAATTTTAAATATTTAAAAATTTTATTGTGGTGGATAACTTCACCCTCTTATTTTTATCTTTTAGCTGTTAATATGGACAGAAGAGTGATGGAAGAGGTATTTATGTAATTTACTATTCATTATAAGGTGTATTTTTATAATTTACCTTTGAATATTAAGAATAAAGATATGATTTTACTTAACTAAAGGTTTTATTCGTTAAGTTGTTGAAGAAGAAGCATAAGGAGTTAATTGTATTAATTTCAATTAGAAATAGGAGGGTAATTGTTACAATTACAATAACGTAAAGGGGTAAAAATAAGGAAGACAACCAAACGGACATCATCCATCCACTCACTACATGTTCCATCCAGGTACATTTGCTTTCCTATTATTGACATAGGGCGAAAAAAGGACACAACGCCTTCTATATATATATATATATATATATATATATGTAAGTACAAAACATCACTTAAAGGTACGCCAGGGGGTTCTGTAAAGAGATCAAACTCTCCATAAGTATTTAAACGTCATAGAAATCAAGATATCTAAAAAGGATCCTTTACTTCTCCAACAGGTTTATAGACAATTGAAGACCGCATCAGCTGCTATACATATGCACGAGAACATATGTACAAAAACACAAATAGTACCAACACTCCTCTAATAGTTATGCCCCTTCACCTGACCAGCAATCTTATCCAGACGACCATCCATGATGTGAGACACAGCCTCAAGGAATGCAGCTTCACTTGTGCCAGGGAGAACACACCCCTGAGCTTCTTGGACAATCTCCTCCAGGACAGATTCCTTTGTTAATGTTTCTCTGCACATTATGCTTCCAATCTCGAAGGGAGTTAGCCCACATTCAACTCCTTTCTTCAGAAGCATGGTGGAGATGCGAAGTGTGCAGGCAGATTCAACTGACATGTTCCATCCATGGAATTTTAGAAGAATGATGTCTTCTTCAGCATCAAGTGATTTTATGTAGTCAATGATCTCCGGGGAGTAAGGCTTGCGAGCCTGAGGCCAGTAGAGCCAATCAAATGTGCAATCTTCAAACTGCAAGGGTGTAAAGAGAGAATAAATCATCAAGCGATAACCCTAAAACCAGCAAAAGAGTCAACAACAGAAGCTCTTGACAAAAATCATTTAGGTTTTCAGTGGCAGTCAAATAAGTTCTGAAGGCACCTTGCCTGTCTATTGTAAACGGGACACATCCTTTTAAACAAGTATGAACTTTACAGTTTCTCCCAAAAAAAAGTGTAAATTTGCAGCAAATAAACTGAGTTTCTAACATAAGCATGATAAAGAACGTGGTTAAGAAAAGGAAGAATGGAAAAAAAAGACCATGTTTCCATAGAACCATAAATTTAGTGGCATACAAATAATCAGTTGTAAGTTTAGCAGCACAAAAACATTTCTAGCATAAAATCTATATATAAAAAACTACCCGCATCTGATCAGGTAACCACTTCATGTTAGTTCCATGGAGGTGATCCAGATTCAGACATTACTCAGCAATTTACAATTTAAAAAATCTATACATAAAGGAAAACCATTCTAAAAGCAAGAAACTGGAAAAGGATCAAATACTGTTAATGACCACAAGTATAAAGGGCAAATAGTTATGCACATAGTAAATGGAAAACTTACACTCTCAGGCAAGCAGTATCCATGATCAATTGGAATAAGTACAGTTTGGCCATCTTTATCCTTGCTCAATAAAATATTCCCAGCATGCCTATCTGCATTCGCCAATCTTATATCTAATACAGAGATTTTATGCACCTCCTGAAGTGGAAATGAGGAAGGACCCATATCCTCGCAGCTACCGTTATTCTCCATAAACATCTGCAATGATCCAATCTTGAACATTATCTGCCCAGGATGGTTAAATCCACGATGAAAGCACTTAACCATAACTGTAGGAGGTACTCCAGCAAAACCTTTTTCATCACCAAATAAGCTGCGGCACCCACTTTTTGGATGATCCAAAATGTAAGCAGCAACTTCCCTCAATGCTCCTTCTCCAACTCTTGTTCCCTTCTTTAACCCTTCACCACTTGGTGACAATGGTAGGCCCTGAGGGTTGTTAACAGCCAAAGGTTCCTCATCAATCGGCTTAAAAACAGCAACAAATTTCTCGCCTAATGAATCCTGCATGAAATAAGCTCCTCCTGTACCCTCTCTGGACCTGACAGGATAATTTCCACTATCTAATCCATCAAAACTGGTGTTTATCATATCTAAAACCACTGAAGGTAACTTAACCTTGCGATTAATAGTGATTGGCTCCAAAGAGAAATCCCTGTCAGGAGGCTTCCTTGGTAAAATCCCTTGGTCAACTTCATAACTTCTTTCATTCTTCTCACTGGCATCGTAATGTCTCTGTTTGCTCTCTGCATGAACATCATAACTCTTCCTTTCATTTGACTGTGTGGCCACAATAGATAATTCAAAATTCTTCTCAACAGGCCTAGGACGAACTTTTGCCGATTTTCGGACAAACAAATGCAACACTGCATCATTGTGTTTACAAATGTCATCAATAAGCCTCTGTTCCTCCAAACTCTCCCCATCATAAACAACTTCCTGCTCATCAAGATCAACAAATTCTTTTCTTCTCTTCGCAATCTGCTGTTTCACATACCCAACGTCCCTACCTCTTTCAACATGAAAAGTAAATTCTTTCCCGCAGGCGGTCTTGACATTAATGACCTGAAGGTCAGAAACCCTAAGAACCAAATGAAGAACATTTCCATCAGTCACACCGTAATCGCTGACAAGAGAATCGCTCCGAGACAACTCACGGCCTCCGCATACCAACTTCTGATTCTTCACAACAAACCCTTGACATGATTGAATCCGGAGTTTCACAGATTCAATTGAATCAGACTCCAATATACGCATTGGAACCATCGACCCAGACAAAGCAAGATATATTACAATTGATTCATCCACGCATAGATTTGACAAAGAATTTATACGATCAAGCGAAAACAAGGGTTTATTATCAACAGGACTAAGAGCAAGACTGGCAGAAGACATGTTTTTGGCTGTTGATGCAGAATTTCAATTAAAAAGAATTTGTTTATTTCCACAGATAATGCATGTGTTTTTAGATCAGCTCAGACTGAAACCCAAAAAAAATCCCAAGCCTAGATGTTCATGCTCTCCTCTCCAACACAAACCTAAAGAACGAATCTCCTTCAAGCCCCAACAAATCACGCCCCGAACCGAACCTTAGGAACAATCACACAGATGAATGAAAATTAAAGTTTGAGAGATGAGGAGGCGAATTTGTACTTAACTAACTACAAATTAAAAGAAAAAAAAATAGATACAAGCTCAAATGCAGAGACAGGATTCTTACCAGAAAGGAAGAACCAAGGAGAAAGGAAGGAGGAATCGACCTTAAATTGCTAATCTAATTTTAGTAAACATGGTTCAGGTTTTAGATTAATCAATGGCTTGAAGACTTTTATGGCCGTGAAAGACGAAAAACTAACAGAGAGAGCGGGAGAGAGAGAGAGAGAGAGAGGTGGGAAGGGAAGACGCGTTTAGCCGTCGTCGTTTTATAGATTACAAGAAAAAATTCCCAAATTTGACCAAGTTTTTTTTTATTAATTTTATTACATCCTTAACGTCATTTTCGAGATTTATTTGTTTGTGATTGGTCAAAGTAATAGGATAGGAGGATTTTTATTTTCCTATTTGAGAAGTCAGAAGATGCTTTATGACATAAAGTATATTCCTTCATAAGAGGCAGCACGGAGGTTTCCTTTTTCTTCTTTTTCTAAAAAAAATACAAAAAAGGAAAGCGACTGAAACAGAGCTGGCAATTATTCCTTCCATAAATTGTTAGATAGGTATTGCTACAGATAAAAGAGGAGATAGCTGTATGTTTGGTTTCAGGTTATACTCTATCATAAATTTTTTCAGCTGCTTATCCTATCCTAGTTTTACAGCGAAAAATTTGACCTGTTTTACTCCATCATGAACACTTCTTCAAGCTCCAAATCAAAATTAGCAGCCCTCTTTTCTTGCCTCATCTTGCTCCAAACTTCATTCAACACTTCATATATCTCGTTAGATCTTGGATGTGATTTATCCTCCACAATGAACTTATGAACCTTGCCCCCCTCTTCAATGAAACTGTATCCAGCTGCTTTTGTTATTTGGCTGGACTTCATCACCTTCCTCAGCTTCGAAACCCTGTCCCATCTGCTTTTCGATGCATATATATTTGACAGTATAACGTAATTCCCTGGATTCCATGGTTCAAGCTTGAAGAGTGACTCGGCTGCTATTTCACCTATCTCAACATTGCCATATATGTTGCAGGCTCCCAAAAGAGCTCCCCACACAACAGAATCTGGTTTCATTGGCATGCTTTTTATGAGATCATAAGCTTCTTGCAGCTCCCCAGCACGGCCTAAAAGATCAACCATGCATCCGTAGTGCTCTAGTTTAGCATTAATACGGTACTTTTCACTCATCCACTTGAATAGCTGTCTGCCTTGTACAACCAGGCCTCCATGAGTGCATGCTAGCAGCAAACCCACAAATGTTACATCATCTGGTGCTGTTTCTTCCATCTGGAATAACAACAAAGTTCAATTTCTCTACATGTTTAACCCACATCAAATTCATAGCAATAAGCAATAAAAGAAAAGGAACTGCTTACCAGCATTTCATTGTAAAGTTCAAGAGCTTCGCAGGATTTTCCATGGATAGCCAAGCCCATGATCATAGAGTTCCATGAGCACAAATTTCTTCTGTTGCCAATATCATCAAACACTCGCCTAGCTTCATCAATTCTACCACATCTTGCGTACATTTCCAGTACAGCATTGCTCACGTACAGATTCTTGAAAAACCCCTTATTCCTCGCGTACGTTTCAATCCTCATTCCAACCTCCAGTGCCCCAAGACTTGCGCAGGCTGGAAGCACGCTAGCTATGGTAACGTGGTTAATCGTGCTTTCCTCCGTTTCCATGCTCAAGAACATGGCTAATGCTTCCGCGTACTTTCCAGTCTGCGAGTACCCAGATATCATTGCGGTCCAGGAAACCAAATTCCTATTGGGCATTGATCTAAACAATTCCAAAGCTCCGTCCATATCCCCGCACCTCGCGTAACCCGTGATCATCGAATTCCAAATGGGCAAATCTTTCATACTCATTTCATCGAACACCTGGCGCGCAAGCTTTAACTTACCAAACTTCGAATACATGGTAATTAAAGCGGTCAATGGGAAGGAATCATGTCCGAAACCCGATTTAAAAAATTGGGTGTGGAGCATTTGGCCGTAAAGAGGGGAGGGGAAGGAAGCGCATGCAGAAAAGAGGAAGGTGAAGGAGAATTGGTTTGGCGGGCAACCATTGAAACACATTCGAGTATACAGGGAGAAACAGCGGTGAGGTTGGTTTTGAGCAGAGTAGGCTTGAATAAGCTTGTTGTAGAAGAAGGCCGTAGGTTTGGAAGTAAGGTTGAGCAAGTTTTGGGCGTAAGTGATGTTGGGGATTTGTAGAAGCTCCGTTAGAAGGTATTGCGTCTGGTCAATGCCATTTCTTAGGCTATGTGCATGAATTTGTTTTAATCTGTTCATGAAAAATTTCTAATTATGATTTCAATTATAAAATTCACAGTTCCTACAGATAATATTGTTGGATCATAAAACATTCATAATTTAATTTTAGAGAGCTTAAGAGCCAATGAATCAGAATCGTCATTCCACAAATCAGAAACTCAAAAAAGAACCTTGTGGGAGAAATCAGAAACTTGATAGCTCCACATTCATGAAGGTAGTGAAGCAAATATCTGCAAACAACACACGCACTTCACCTTACAACATTAGATGAAAAATAAGTATTAAAACGAACGGCGGATTTTTTTAGAGGGTCGATTTAAACCTTCTTTTTTGTTTAATTTGGGAATTGCAACTGGATAGTCACTTTTCTTGAAATTTTTTTTTTTCATAGGATAAGTTTTTATTGAATTATGGTTAGAATATTCTGAGAATTAGTATATTGGTCAAAAAATATGGTCAAATGTGCTTTAAGTTATTTGCTAAAAGCTTTCAAAAAAAAGGAAATGGTATTAGGAGATTCCTTTTTTGGCCTAAAAGCTCCAGCTATTAGCACGTTTGACACATTGACAAATCCTTCATGCTTCTTTTGGAGCAAAAAGTACTTTTAGCGCTTTCAGCCACCAAAAAAAGTCAATCCAAACACCCTGGCTCGTCTTACCTAAAAGAGTACATCTGAAACGTAGTAATAAGTTTGGTCCTTATCCAACGAGAATCAGGAAACCTTTCTGTTCACAAAACATTAACTCTTGGGTCATTGCCACTCATTTCTCTTTGTGAAAGGCAAATGAAATCATCGCATTGCTGTCTCTGGTAAGTTTGTGCGTGTTTTCAGTAGAATACATTGAAAGTACTAGCTATATGATATATAAATACAAGAACTGAATATGATCATGAAAGGAAGCTTCAAGACCTGGTACTGTTCCTAACCTGCAGCTTATGGACACATTTATTTTCTGATTCTTATGAAAACATCCATACTAAGAGCACTTGGAATTGAGAGTTAGCATGTTACATGGGACTGATTTGGATAAAACCTGTAAAAGTCTGCAGCAGTTTCATTAGCTGGACTTTTATTGTTTTATAGCATAAATGGTACCAAGAAATGTAGCAGATTTCCACCCCAAATATATTGCTCATATCTTGTTAGGCGCCAAGTTTCCTCTTTGGAGATTATGTTTACCAGGAGATCACCTCACCGGAACCATGGTGCGACAATCAAGAAACCAAGGTTAAACAATTTTGCATACTCCCAACATGAGGAGAACAAGCCAAGAGGTGGCTTCAATGTCTTAGCATGTAGGTTATAATTGTGATTCTTCTGCTTAAGAGTTCAGTACAAAGCTGGGAAAAGCTAGAGTGACATCCCTGAGAAGCAAAAACCATAATATGATCATGTTATGCACAATAAAATACATGATCCTATATTGAAATGTTATACACAATTGCAAATGTTTTCCAAAATCTGCATGCAGACATCCTTCATAATCGGCCTTTTTGAAGCATTTTAGGCAGTGGAGGAATCATTTAATTAACTATGCAATAAATATATAAAACTAACTAGGATCTATGCACATTAATTGAGGAACAGTCATGTTCTTTAGCACTGATGGATTCTTTGTGACAAATTCTTTCCATTCTTCCTCATCAATTTTGCCATCACCATTGGCATCTGCTTCCATGAATGTCTGTATGACAGATAAGAAGAAACAAGCATTGAAATCTGAACAGTCAAAACCCATAA